TAATTCATTGTTAAATAGGTATTTGGAGATAAGTATTTATGTTCTTGATTTTAATTCCACTGATTAACGTTAATAAATCGTCTTTAAATGAGATAAGCATTTATGAATAAGTATTTACTATATGTTCATGATTTTAATTCCATTGATTAACGTTAATAATCATCTTTATACTCACTAACTGAATGAAATGATTAGAATAGTATTAGGTAATCAATTGTAAATAAGCATTTAGAGATAAGTATTTGTAACGTTAAAATTATAAAATATTGAGGCAAAAAATTAAAATTATATTTACTTTTTAATCAATTCATTAAATTCTTTCCACTCCAATTCCGTAATAGTAACAAATGGCAGTTTTAAAGATTCCATTAGAATTGCCCATTTCAGCTGACTTTAAGTAATGTTCAAATTCTTTGTGTTTATCCATTTCAACTCCAATTCCATGATATATCATCTTTCATCTTTCTTTTTAGACAATCCTAGATCTGCGCGCTGCGAAAGTCAGCATTGTGAATAATATATAATTCTTCGGAAATATCGTTAAGTAATTGCAATTTATTTTGGCTTGAAATTCTCTTAAATATTTACCATTCGGCTAATTTAATTTATTGGACCTTTTTTTTTAATCACTAAATTGATAAATTATTATTCTTTTTAGACGTCGGAGAATCAATTTAATATGTATGTTACTATAAGTACTCTAAATAAAAAAAAATCACATAAGAGAGGCGAAATAATTTTTAACGCTTAATTAATAATAGATAATATAGATCATTTTAAATACATTTTATAAATGTGCCAAATTATGATCTCACCTCAACAGATCTTTAAATTTTTAGTATAAAAAAAAAAATTAGCCGGATTGATGAAGATTTTCACTATCAGCATGCTGAAAGACCATCAAGTATTCATTTGTTTTGGTGTCTTGAGTTATTTCATATATCGCAAGCTTACTATAAATTTTATTTTACATAGGACTTTTAAACGTTTTTTATAAATTTATAATGAATTAATTAATTCTAACCATTAGATAAATCATTATACAAGTGATGAATTAACTTACTTCTTTCAAAAAATCAAAATTATTTTCCTTAGAACTAGCCAGGGTCTTGGTGCAAGTATTGGATTTTTCACGTGTTCTTCATATCAATTACCATCAATTTTTCGTATGCAAGTAAAATGGATTCCATTTGATAGATTATCCGATGTTAAAGAAATCGGCAAAGGTGGATTTGGCTCTGTATATTCGGTAACTTGGTTGGATGGCATGCTTATATTTCCTGGTTCTGAATTGAAATTCTCTAATACAATCTTCAATATCCTTGTCCATCCTTGTGATTTCGGGATCACATGTTAAGTAACATGCTTGTTGAGTATTATTTTCATTATAGTGTGCACATTTGCCGTGTTCATTATTCCTTTGTAATTATATATGTATAATTTTTTATATTTATTATTTATTTTAAAATTATTGTTAATTTAAAATCAATTATACTCACCGACTAAATTAATGCGATGAAACTATTTGAAGAATATTGGGTAATTAATTGTAAAATAGGTATTTATAGATAAATATTTATGTTCATGATTTTAATTCTACTGATTAACGTTAATAAATCAAGGTAATTAATTGTAAATAAGCATTTAGATATAAGTATTTGTGACGTTAAAATTATAAAATATTGAGAATTATACTTACTTTTTAATCCATTCATTAAATTTATCAAAATTCTTTTTCACAATTTCTTAATAACAACAAATGGTAGTTTTAAAGATTCCGTTTATAATTGTCCGTTTCGGCTGATTTTAAGTAATGTTCAAATGTTTTGTGTTTATCTATTTTAACTCCAATCTCACGATAATAACAAAAGCCAATTTGAAACATTCTGTTAGAGTTATTCATATTTGCTAATTTTTGATAGTTTCTTTTTTATATTAATTACATGTTCATAACTAATTTTTCATAATCAGTAAAACATAATTGACCTAAATTACTAGTGATTTATTTACAGTATCTGCTAATTTTTCACAATCCGTAAAACTTTAATTGATCTAACAAAAAAATATGCAATTAGTGTTGCGGGCTAAACCGAAATATTCACCTTTGGTGAAATTATTTTCATTAAGGCGAAATATTTAGCCCGCAACAACTACTACTATATGTTGTTGCGGGCTAAACTGATATGTTCCGAAATATTTCGCCCTGAAGAAATTTCTATATTTTATTTTAGCGAAATATCATATTTCGGATTTTTTTTTAGCCTGCAATACTAATTTTTATATAAATTGTTAACTGCAATGCAGAGCAGTGTAATATTGGACGACGTACACTTGGTATTACAATATGTATGTATGTGAATTTGTAATTCAGTAAACATTGATTATTTAATATATTTAACGGAGTTTAGCGGAATTTGCCCATTCTATATAGAACATCCTAGAAGAAATAATGAATTATTTATACGTACGTACGTAACAATAATTGTACGTATACGTATCTCGAAGTAGTAATCATATAACACATGACAAAAATACAACAATGATTCAGTACAAACCTAATGCGAGAAGTTACGGTTTAAGCTAGTTACGGTTAAAGCTTTATGTCGTAACTAGTTACGACAATCATTCTACCGCATCACTAGATTTTCTTTATTGTATTTATTATAATTTAAAAAAATATGTAAGACGTATTAGTTTTAGTGACATTTTTATAGCGATACTGGTCATAAAGTCCGAGAATATGATTTAAATTGTAATTTAAAAAGTATTTTTTTTTATTAAAAAGCAAATTCTATAAACTAAATTAGATTATAATCTATAAAATAAACAGCATTAATAAAAAACAGAGTATTAATAGCACAATTTCTTTATTTACAAAGACTTTAATGCATCATTCATCATTGGCTTTAGGATATTATTTTTATCCACCACATTCCATATATCTCTTTCTACATCAGGTGATAACTGAATTACACGATTTGCAGACCCATTACGAGAGCGTGTTATTTTAATTAAACCAGCACTTTCAAGTCTTTGCACTGGCATTTCAAATTCGCTCGAATTTACTGGTAACATGTGATTTCTATTCCGGCAGAATCTCTGATATTCCGGAAATAACTACAAACGAGAAATACGGAATTTTTTTTTTTAAAAAAAAATAATTATAAATAAAAATTCAATTATTTAAACTAACCTCGCCATAAGTTATCTTTTTAATTTTTTTCTTCTTCATAATCACCAATGTACAGATTACAAGTAGTTGAAGAAACGGTAAAGCATTAAGAGTTCTTATCATGGAAGTGCCGGTAATATCAGAATTTGTAATTTGATTTATATGGGTAATAGTAACCTTTGGTGAACTTGAATTACCAAGAGAAATTTTCTCATCAATGTCTTTCGTATATGGAAGGTCTAAATCATCAATATCTTCATTCTCAGCGAGTTCAAAAGATTTCCTAAGAACATCTAACGCCTTTCTACAATCACCGTTATTAGCAGCAATTCTTTTTGCGCATAATTCAATTGCATTATCATCTATTAAAGATGAATGTTCTTCTGAAGAAGTTGCAGCTTTAAGACGATCTTTAATAATATCAGCAATTTCGGAATTGTCATATGGAGCAAAATTCAAAATTTGTGGTTGAACTATTATGGTGAATAGAAAAAAAAAAAAAAACGATCAAAATTAAGTCGAATCTTATTATAAATATAAACGTTACAATAAAATGTTACAAACGATCTTTATCCTCAATATTAGGAAGTAATTCCGTAAGCTTCGACATATTTGATATTCCAATCAAAATCAATCGTGAATTATGCACGAAAGTCCAATCAAATAATTTATATAATATTTCTCGATCATTGGTTATGAGATAATCGATTTCATCCAATATAACAACGCTATTGTGAAAATGAAATTAAGAAACCTTTAAAATATATAAATTTATTTACGAAACAAAGAAAGAAAGAAATATAATTACTTACTACATGATATTCTTTTTTGATTTTAAAAATAAATTGTTAAGAACATCTTCAGCTTTCTTTACGTTATTATTAGCGACCTTTTTGCCCAATAAGTCTAAAATTGACACGTAAATTTTCTTCGGATCATTAAGACTCATACAATTAATTGTGACAAACTTGACAGGACATTTTGCCTTCGTTTCGATAGAATCTTTCATATCATTATAAATTTCGTTGACAAGAGCAGTTTTTCCAGTACCGGGTATCCCGTGAATAAAAAGATTACCAGGAGTATTTTCAGTGATATGTATATCTAAAAATTCAGTGATAGTATCTCTTTCTATATCGCGACCCACAAGTTTTGATGGGGTAGTAGATAAACGGAAAAGAGATTTTGCTTTTTCATAAACTTTTGGTGAAGAGCTTGATTTGGATGCCTTAAAAAAGCCGCTTAAACGAGCATTTTTAGGAGTTGTATAAGTTGATGGATGGAAATTAATTTCGGAAGATTTAACCTCTGTAGTCGGTTGAGGAGTTTCTTCGGTATCTTCATCTTTAGTTAACTTTTTAAGTCTTTTTGAAGCAGTTCTTGAATTTTTCAAATTTTCCGCATCATCAGCAGATACCCTTTTTGAAACAGAACTTCTCAAATAATGGCGCTTAGATATCAATTTTTTAGATCTTGGCGGCATAGCATCCAAAAATAAAACGGATATTGG